GGTGGAGGAAAAACAAGGTGAAAAATGCGTGGGGGCCAGAAGTAATTATGGAAAATTCTCCCCATCATCATCTGATGTACTATAAATGCAAGCAAAGGATTTTGGTCTCCTCAATGATCCACAAGGCTAAACCTAGTCAACCCAGAATCCTGCAGTAACAAATGGCTAGTGTTTAAAATTATGAGTTTCAGAATAATTTGTTACTCGGCGATAGATAACCCAAAGAACGTTGCAGTGTTTAGATGAGAAGGAAAATGAAATGGAGAAAAGGGGCCAAAGGAAGAGTTCCTTCTGCACAGGACAGATTTGATTATATTTATAGAGCTAAGAGGAAGGAATGAGTTCAGTGGGAGTAAAAGGTCCAGCAGAAAGGGGAAGTACTTTAGCATGTCCTGGAATAAGTCAATAAAGAGCTGATCAAGGATGCAAATTGAGGTACTGGCTTTGGGTAGAAGGCAGGCAACTTCATTCCATGAGAACAGTGGAAACTAAGTTGGCAGGAGTGGTGTGATGGAAACCAACTGGACAATAAACTATTTAAAAAAAAAGAATACTTAAAATAAGTTTACTCTTTAGCCAAGCAAGTAAGTATTGCACGAGTATTTTTTAAGTATTTGAATTATTAAATTTAAAATTTTTAAAGCAATTTCTATACCCAACATGGGGTTCTAACTCACAACTCTGAAACAAAGAGTCACACACTTCCTGCTGAGCCAGCCAGGCACCTCTACTGCATGAATTTAACTGGAATAAGGAACACAGAATTTGATTTCCCTATTTAAAACTAATGAGATCAGAAAGAAGACAATATCCTAAAGTTGGTAGAATTGTTTTGGTTGATTAAAATTTCTTCTCAAGCTCTTAAATTGACTTCCATGGAACACTTTGTGAAACGTGTTATATAGATCATTTTTTTAATTAAAAAAAGTTTTTTAATGTTTATTCATTTTTTTGAGAGACAGACAGACATGAGCAGAGAAGGGGCAGAGAGAGAGGGAGAACAGAATCTGAAGCAGGCTCCAGGCTCTGAGCTGGCAGCACAGAGCCCAATGCAAGGCTTGAACCCATGAACCCTGGGAGATCATGACCTGAGCTGAAGTCGGATGCTCAACCCGCTAAATCTCCTAGGCGCCCCCTATAGATCATTTTTTTAGGGCAGTTTGCAAATTTATTTAAAAACCTTGGCCAGTATTTTTTAAGAAAAATACAGGAAGGACCCAAGCTCTGGAAGGAATAAAAAAAAAAAAAAAAAAAAAAAAAAAACCCAAACGGCACTTTACCTGATGTGTTTGGTGTTCAGGAGGGAACGGTCAAGAAAGAATTCTTGAGACATGCTTGGTGATGGAAAAAAGGTGGTTTTAGTAAAGCACAGGACAGCACCCGTGGGCAGAAAGCTGTACTGGGGTTGTGAGGAGAGATTAATTATATACCTTTAAGTTGAGAGGGGTTTAGGGATGGCATAAGTCTCTAAGGAATTTGGAAGCAAGGTTTTCAGGACCTTGAGGGGCTAGCTGCTGTTGAAGATAAGGTCATTGACTATTAGTAAAACCTTAGTTTGGGAACTTCAGGTGTGCATCAGGGGACCGTATGTTTGGAGGAGGATTGTCGACATGTATTTGGGGGGCGGGGTAGAGATAAAGGAAGTTTCCAAAGGGATTTTCATGTGTTAAAGGAGACTTACAGGATCCTGGAGGTTGGCTACTGTCAAGCTAAGGTTGCCTTTTGCCTCTGGCAAAATATCAACATGGAGGCAGTTGAGTTCCTGGAGAAAGGCCACCCTGCTTGCCTTAAGTAGTTGTCAATGAGGCTGCAAAGGAAATTTATGCTTTTTCTACATTTCTTTTGCTTTTGTTCTCTGTATCATTATCCATTAACTCAAAAACATTTTTTTGCGTTAAAAATTACTTTGAATTAGTTTTTCTTGGAATGCTTAGTTTTTACCACAGTAATTTCAGTCTCAAGTAATTTTTTATATTTGACATAAACTTAATTTACTTCTGAAAGAAACACAATGAAAATAATAACCTAACTCGCGTCCAACTTTGGCTCCGGTCATGATCTCGTGGTCCCTGAGTTCGAGCCCTACATCTGGCTGTGTGCTGACAGCTCAGAGCCTGGAACCTGCTTCAGATTCTGTGTTTCCCGCTCTCTCTGCACTTCCCCTGCTGTACTCTGTCTCTCTCTCTCAAAAATACACATTTAAAAATTAAAAAAACAAAAACAAAAATGTTTCTAAAGTCCACTATGCATTCAGTTTTAAGTGCTGAGGAAAAAGAAATGGACAAGATGAAGTCCCTGCCTTCATGGAGCTTAAGTTTAAATATGGGGGAAACAAAACAAACACATAATCAAATAGCAAGAATTGCAGCCGGAGAACTAAACTGCAAACAGCAGCAATAAAAAGAAATCAGAGGGGACTGGAGAATGGGTGGGGACTGGAAGGGCTGGGTCTAGTTTGGGCAGACGGTCTCTCCAGAAGGTTGAGCTTTCAATCTCAAGCGCCAACAAGGAGGCAGCCCTGAGGAAATCTGGGGGAGGGGCCTTCCAGACCAGACACAAATGTCACCAGCCTCTCTAATGACACAAGATGCTGATTCCAAAGTGACAGACAGGGCTACACAGCCCACATATGCCTACTAGAAACCATATTTACATTTCTGATCTTTGAGATTTGGGGAATCTGGTAGTGATATAAACATCTTCTAGATGTTTAAATACAGGATCTATTGGAAAATATAAGATGTTGTTGAAAAAAATAGTGGGAGATTAAAGGAATGAAAATCACACACACAAAAAAACCAATGTTAAAACACATAAAGTACATCTTTTATGCTCCAAAGGAGAATTGTTGGAACTGTCAGTTGGATCTCTCCAGCAAAACATAGCCATACAACAGATGTTTTGTTGAGAAGACGAAAGAAACTATGGTTGGATAGAAAACAATAATTTAAACACACATATCTGACCACTTAGAAACAATACGTATAATTCACTTTGGAAAAAAAAGTTTTAAACATTCCTATGAGGTTGATATAAACTAAGCATACTAAACTCACGTGTGAAACTATTAGATTTGCTTGTAATGTCAGGGTCAATTTGAAAACTTGCCTCTAGTGATATTGATACATCTCCAGTGATATTGATACATCTGTGGATTGAATTCCAATCCAAATTCATCTGCACTATGATCATCCCTTTCTAATATGTGTATTGAAAGACCCAAAATAGTCCCAGGGCCTGCCTCACTTTTATGAATATTCTAGCCAGACCAAGGCACAATTTCCACAATATGAGCAGCATATACTGTATCCAGACATGAAATGATGGTCATCAAGGAGGCCACCGAACTGCCTCTCAGTGACTGAAAGGCAGCTGGAGGACTCTGGCAGGCAGGATATCTGGGCAGAGCTGTGGCGAGGGATCTGAGATACAGACGCAGAGACGGGAACCAGAAAGAGAGACGAGAAGTGAAAGAGGCACATTCCCAGATGGAGCCATTTTATTTCCAAACTTGAGTCAAAACAGATATAGACTTTCCTTATCTCCACACTGGATTTTCATCTTATAAAATAGATTTGCTACCAAAATCCTTCATAAAATCTGCCTTGCCCTCGGCAGTGGGAAATAAGCAAAAGTCAAAAGTTAAAAGGTCATGCATAAAATATCATAGCCACCAAGAGAATGATACAATAGTCTCAAATTCTTCACAAATCAATGATGAAACATTAAGACTGATTTACACTTCACTATATTTGTAGCACTTCAAGATTTGTTCTTCATATAGTTATATTCATATTTCACAAAACAATATTACAAAAAGACTATCAACTTTTTCATAAAATAGGAAAACAAAACAAAGCCATCACACTATAAAATTAATCTGCAGAGCATAAACTTTTTTACTTAAGAACAAAAGTTAAAAGAAAGTGAACTCACCCCACACTAAAATATCTTCACCAAAAACTCTGTATGCTTCCCAAAGTAGTTCTTAGAGCTAAGATTTTTGGTTGGTTTAGCCTCCCTTGTATGTACTGGGTTTTGCATATCCTGATTCCCAACTGTTATTCCAGGGAGAATTTCAAGAAAGATCTTCAAGCAAGGTCTGAGGTGGGATCCAGTGCAAGTCATTAGGCAAATCATTCACACACATAAAGCTTTATGAAACTCAAGTGTTTTATTAGAAACAGTGGTTGACCCTTTCTCTTTCACTCCCTTTCCATCCAAGACAACCTTTAAAGGTCTAGAATCATTTATTGTCTGTAATTATGACAGCATATGGCTCATAATTCTGGGTGAAAATATGCCTTTTTAAGAAACTCTGTGCGTGCATTAAATGTTCTTTGCTTTCTTAGAGGTAGATAACCTCAAACTAAGGTCCGAACCAACGTTGGTCCCTTCAATCGGTGTGAGAAAACAATAGTATTAAATGAGGAGAGCAGCTGTCAAAGAGGAAGAACTAAATTCCTGTTTTCTCAGGAAAAACAATCTTTAATGATGTCTGTGTTTGTGTATATATGGATAAATGACTTACCAAAAAAAACCCCAAAAACAAAATAAAAAAACAAAATACTGTAGAAGCAGCCAATACATTTGCCAGTCTGACAAAATGGTTGGAATTGACCATTGGAAAAGACCTCGTAGACTAAGTAATTCAAATCTCTGACTTTAAAGGAAAGGGAATGGAGCCTCAGAGATGGTAAATGACTTGTCTCTGTCCATTAGCATGTTAATTTGCATGATTACTTTTATACACATACAGGCACACACACGTACACACACTGTTGCATTTACTTCTGTCTTGTACATAAAATGCTACTGGCTTGTACAATAAATGAAAAATAAGGAGGACCTGGGTGGCTCAGTCGGTTAAGCATCTGACTTCAGCTCAGGTCATGATCTCACGGTTAGTAAGTTCGAGGCCTGTGTTGGGCTTTGTGTTGATAGCTCAGACCCTGGAGCCCACTTTGGATCTGTGTCTCCCTCTCTCTTTGTCCCTCCCCTGCTTGTGCTCTGTCTCTCTCAAAAATAAATGAACATTTTAAAAAATTAAAAAAAAAAAAAAAAGAAAAAGAAGGGTGTACAGTTCCACTTACTTCTTTGCCAGAAGTGGGAAATGCCCATCTTTCAAATGAGTGAAGAGGTTCCCGTTCCTTTCCACTGATAAACTGGCTGTATCATGACCTGGCCTTGGCAGTCCCTGCAAAGAGCAGGTCGGGGCAGTGGTAAAAGTGGTAGGAAGGAGAGGAGAGGCACTCAAACCACAATGGGAATCCCTTGCTATGCTAAAGATGTGCCCACTGGCAGTGAAGGCTTTACATGAAGTCGAGCTTGGGCTATTGTAACTCCTAGACCAGGTACGAAGGAGACAGAAAAAGGGTGAAGGCATCGGGTATGCTTCACCCTAGAGAATATAAGCTAGCGTTCCACCTCAGAGGCAGAAATGAGCAGTGTGTGTCTTTCCTAAGTTCTCCAACTATCAACGTAGATGAATTTACTAGGCGTATGACAGTTGCTAATTTCTTTAATTTGTATATGCATATAGATATCAAAATATTTAAGCCTAATGTATAGTAGTATGAATAGCTACTTTACCTCTTTCCATAAAATTACATGTGGATATAATTCTAAGGTAGTTTTTTAAAAATATTGTTATTTTTAATATTCATTATAGATGTTATTCTGAAAAATCTTAAGTTGAGCTGTATATATTAACATTAAATAACTTAAAAAAATAAACAATACATTATATTTATATATATACCAAAATAGCCCCATTTAAAGCCATGTAAGTGAAAAAGTTGAGTTTTCAAGAATAAACTAGACCCTCTAAAGGTATTTTTCATAATTTCAATATTAAATGTATCTTGTTTTCTGACTATGCCAAATATATACACACTGCTCTTGGTAATTTATGTCAAGTATTCATTATGAAAATAAATAGGTTAGTTCATTTGTGTGTTTCTACTTGTTTCTGTGATGGCAAATTTATCCTAAATCTAAATGAATTTGCTCCCAAAAGATCTCCCCCATGGAGACAGCATAACCAAAAAACTTTACAATGTACAGATATCCATTACATGCAACTTTATATTTTCTAATAGTGGTAGAAAGTAACTTTCAAGTATCATCATAAACTGACTGGACTTACAGATAGCTATCCCATAAAATTAACACTCTAAAGGAACAAAGTCATTTGAGAAGCTTGTCCTTGCTAACCTTTGCCGAAATTCCCATAGGAAACAAAACCATCTATCCGTAAAGAACACAGGGCACTTGGTACCCAACACTGACCTTAAGGTGCAGACAAGTAACACTGCTCTGAATTTAAAGTAAACTCTACATGTTAAAGAAGAGCCCACATATACCATCCACAGCTGGAAGAATTTCTTCTAGAAAGAATTTCTTGTTGAAGACAGAACCCAAAGCTATTTCAGCTCCTAGCCCTGCTTTCTGCAGCCGTGAGTACTGGTGGTAGTTTGGCTAAAACAAACAAACAAACAAACAAACAAAACCCCCCAAAACAAAAACATGAACAGAGAGACTGGCCCACTTGGAGAACCAGATTCAGACATTTTGTACTTACGTTAGCCAAACACATTTTCAAAAATTAAATTAACATAAAGTCTGCAGGGAATGGAGATTCCATAACTCACAAATAACGGGGAAAGTAGTCAACTAAAAAGTGCATCTCTTTCCGAAGCAGGTGCAGGAGGTCAAGATTTTGGAAATTTTCCTCTTTTACAGGTTTTGATCCAGCCACTTGATGTAACTATTCCTAGTCCGGATTCCCACCGAGAAGTTGGTGGGCCAGCTGGTGAAAATCATGCATCCGTGGAAGCCATCCTCAAAGTGATCCAGGGTCACCTCCACACCTGCACTCTCCAGACGCTTTGCATACATGATCCCATCGTCTCTTAGGACATCATGCTCACAGGTCAGAATGTAGGTCTTCGGGAGGTGCCGCAGGACTTCCTGGTCCGCAATGAGCGGGGCCGAGCGAGCATCCAACAGCTGAGGGATCTCCCGCACAATCCTGGCGTTGCCCGTGGTCTGCACCACAGGTTTGTAGTCCTTTGTGATGGACGCAGGCAAGAGGGACGTCCAGTTTAGACGGGCCCTGAGGGCAACTGCCTCTTCCACGTCCATCGAAGTGTGGTTGTTGACGATCATTGCCTGGACAAAGTCATAGTTGCCTTTGAAGTAGTCCACCCAGTACTTCACCATGACATAACGGGGCAGGATTGGGGTGTTTACATTTTGCTGGTAAGAGGGTGTGTTGAAATCTAAAGCTTGAAGAACTGGATATATTAAAGCTTGCACTCTGAGCTTGTTTTTCAGGTTGGCATCTTGAGCAAACTGGTGAAGAGGAAGCAAACACGTTAATGGCTTCTTGTACGGAAACCACAACTTTTAAAGTCTCTGAATGCATTACTTGGAATCAAAGGGGTACAAGTATGAAAGTAACTAAGTAATATAGTTAGTTATAGCATTAAGTAATATAGTTTACAAAATAAAAACATCCCCACCACCCACCACCACTCCCCAAACCCTCATCAAGCTGCTGGATATTTACAAAGAAAGTTAATGATGTTTGCAACCCATAGTTTTGAGTGAATGCTGAAAACACATGTGATCTCTTAGGTCTTTAACCTCCCATGAACACTTTACTTGAATCTGTCCTTGGGCACTAGCATACCTTGCTGGGTACTATGGATGGATAACGTGAAAACCTTTTATAGTTCAGTATTCTGTGCAAGGTGAAAAAAGGCAATGGTTTCCGAGGAAGAAACAAACTAGTCTAACTCTTCCAGAGGAAAGGGTAGGAAAAGCTAAATGAACAGATGATGGGACTCCAAAGTGCTATGGTAGGACCTTAGGATGTCTCCTCTGATGAGCATTTAGTCTTCATGCTGCATAAGTGAGAATTTAAATGGCGCTGGCAACATGCCCTCCATTCTCCGTAATGAGCATGTGCCCCAGAGTTGAGGTTAAATCGGAATGTGAACACATCCTCTGCCTCATCAGATCTCCATTCCCCATGCCTTCACAAAATGTGAATATACTGCCTCATTTTCCAGTCCTAGGGTCTAAAATGATACACATTTTCATGTAACATCTAAAAGGCAGCTAACTAGGTCACTGTGTTTTATAGGCAACTAAACAACCTTCAAGGTCACTTCAGCTGTACAATTTTGTTTCACGGAGTTTAGAACCCCACCCCCCAGGGAAGATGTAACTGCTCTGTAAGAGGAAAAGGAAATGATCAGTTAATAGTACTATTAGCACGTGCCAGGAATTGTATATACATCATTTCATGAAGTCCCAGCAATAGCTCTGCAATCAGATGACATTAACCTCATTTTCCTGAGAGTCAGAGGTATTGAGGGGCGGACCCGAAGCCCATAGCTTCCAAAGCAGCAGGACTGGATTCCGTCCCACTTCTAATTTTAAAGCCCATGATCCTCTCCCCACTGCACCAGGACTTCCTTCTTACCACACATGTATAGCAGACCTGCCAACGCCCAACAGAGATCGAAGCTCTTTATGTACAGCAATTTAAGAATACCAAAAGAAATTTGGAGGCGAGAAGACAGAGGTGCAATTCCAAACTTATTTAATCCACCAGAGGCATAAAATATCTTTGAATTTACACAGTTGCCCTTCTAATTTGGGTGCTATTAGAATTAGATAGTTTTAACCAGAGAATTTAACCAGGTAAACTCAGATTAACTGGTATTATAACATTCAAAGTGGCTGACCCATTTTAATTTTTTTCTTTTATATTAAAAAAAAACATTGGGAAACATTTTTTAGCTTCTCGATTTGACTCAAAGTTCTAAGGAAACAATCTTAGCAACTGGAATTTAAGCAAAAATATTTTTGCGAGTCCAGCATGTGAAAGTAGCTGGGGATACTTGATTGCCATGCATATCGCTGAGGAGCAAGAGAGCCCTGTAAACTGTCAGCCCGTCTTTCAAATTAACTGTAATCAAGGCCTTTCCAAGGACTCAGAGATGACACCTCTTTCAGTGACCCCCTTTTTCCTACTTCAGAAAGATCTGAGAATTCTCCGAGTGCAGTCGTCTGAATAAGCCGACCCCGTACTGAGCAGCCCACCTGCTAAGCCTGTGGCATACATGGGGGAGAATGTGTTTGTTGGTCTGCAAGTTAGCAAGAGTCCTCTTATCACCAGCATGTAGGGCAATCTGTTACCTGTTGGCCCAGAGCAGCAGCCAAATTCCCACCAGCACTGTCGCCAGAAATGCCAATTCTGCCTGGGTCAACCGAATACTTGTGTAAGACTTCCGGCTGCAGAAAATACTTCGTGGCTCGTACAACGTCGTGAATTTGTGCAGGAAAATAAACCTTTGGAACTAGCCTGTATCTGTGAAGACAAGAGTTGTATTCATTTAAGGGCTTCACCAAGTCTTTATAGGCCATTTATAGTTTATGGGGAAGCAGATTCTTTTGACAAAGAAATAAACAGGTAAGGAATCAAAATAAATATAAAAGTGAACCATTCATTTTCTTTTTTTAAAAAGTTTATTTATTTTGAGAGAGAGAGGGTAGGGGGTGGGGAAGCATGAGTGGGGGACGGGCAGAGAGAGAGGGAGAGCAAAAATCCCAAGCAGGCTCTGAGCTGACAGGGCATGCATGAACTGTGAGACTATGACCTGAGCCAAAAATCAAGTTGGATGCTTGACCAACCGAGCCACCAAGTGCCCCTGAGCCACTCATTTTCTTGCAAATCAAATAGTTTAGAAATGTAATGATTTTGGGGCACCTGGGTGGCTCAGTTGGCTAAGCGTCCAACCTCAGCTCAGGTCATGATCTCACAGCTTGTGAGTTCAAGCCCCATATCAGGCTCTGTGCTGACAGCTCAGAGCCTGGAGCCTGCTTCAGATTCTGTGTCTCCCTCTCTCTCTTTCTCTGCCACTCCCCTGCTTGAACTCTATGTCTCTCTCAAAAATAAACAAACATTAAAGAAAAAAGGATTAAAAAGGTAATGATTTTGTATTAGCAATAATCCTTCCTCCTACCCCCTGCCGTTTTTAAAAATTAACAGTCACAAAACAAAACTTCAAAGTTGAAGGTGGATATTGATTATGAAGATATGGGTAGAACCATAACAGATTTCAGAATTTTATTTCTGGAAGTCAGTGTTCAATTCACGACACCTATGGATTAGAAGGTGACTTGGCAACTTTAACCACTTCATTGGTCTCATGTTTAACGACTCCATACGGTATCATTCATGATTTACTTAGAAACACAGTAAAACTGTATTCCGTTGAAGAGGTCATGCCAGTCTGACATTAAACCTAGGCAATGAATTCACTTTCTGAGAGGCTGGAAATGAAAGGCTAGTTGTCAGTCAGCAAAAAGGAGGCCAAGTCGGCCAAGTCCCATTGGGGCCTGAGGCTTCTCCAACCATGCCACTTTGTAATATCAGAGTCTGTATACTTTGTAGGACTAATATTCCCATGAGAGTCCCAAAGAACCTAGTTTTGTCAGATACCCCATGCATGATAACATCTCACAAATCTATAGTTGCTGGTAGTCTAAGCTTGGAGTGCCCTTTCTGCTCAGCCTTGTCCTTCTTTCCTTATTAATTCTCACTCAGCCTTTAAGCCTTACTCACAGGTTTAGACTCCTCCAGGTAGACTTCCTTGACTCTAACTCCCCTTGCCTCTGGGGCTGAACTGGGTACCATTCCCTGATACTTTATGTGCTGGGATATATTACTATTCTTACTGCCTCATCTTAAAATGACGTATGTGTTTCCTCAGCATGCTCCCTGAAATCAGGACTGTTTTATTCATCACTGTGTTCCCAGGATCCATCAATGTGCTAGGCACATAATCATCCATCCACTAAACCCTGTTGAGTTAACATACCTTCCTTTTGCAGACAAAAGAAACTGAGGCACCAAAAAGTTACTCTATTTGTAAAATAAGTCTAACACAGATAAAAACAAGGTGAGATAGAAACTAATGGCTTAAATAAAATCTAATTAATATTAATAATTCAGATCTTGGAGGTACTTGGGTGGCTAAGCATCCTACTCTTGACCTTGGCTCAGGTCATGGTCTCACAGTTCATGGTCTCACAGTTCATGGGTTCACAGTTCAATGGTACTGACAGTATTGTGCCTGCTTGGAATTCTCTCTTTCCCTCTCTCTGCTCCTCCCCTGATCGTTCTCTGTCTCTCTTCAAAAAAAATAAACATTAAAAAAAAAAAAACCCTCAGGTCTTTTCATTTTCACTTTATAATGAACATACCTATTCTTAGAAACTAATTTTCCCCCACCTAAAATCCAGCTAGTTAATTACCTTGACATTCAGTGCAGATACAATCAAATGGACAAACATTTGTGAAATACTTCAAGAAGTAGTGAATATTGATCCCGTTACTCAGGAATTACTGCATTTTAAACATTCTAAATGCAACAAATTCCCTTAGCGGTTTCATTATAACAGATAAAAAAGCAAATTAGAAAAATTATTTTATTTTCCCATCTGTGGTGATCAGTTAATCATCCAAAATGTTTTTTGTCCCATTGAATTTCATTATGTCCTAAAGCGGCTACTATGCCATACTGTATGGTACTACTAACCTACTGATTAATGGGTGAAATGAGTAAAATTATACCATTTTGTCCACTAGATGGCACCATCTTATATGATTCCAGTAACAACCCCCCCACTCCCCCCCCATTTTAGGGCATGATCTCAATTTGAACTTCTGTTTTACCAAGCTGAATTCTTAATTCTTTCACTGAAATAAAAACAAATGACTCAAATTGTGAAAATAAAGGCTATTTCATCTCAGCGAGATTCCATATATCATAATAAACTGTTTTCCTGGTAGCCCAAGAGGCTAGTATACAAAGATGACTTGAATCTTCAGATGTTATTTCCCAAAAGGTCTAGTGACTTTGAATCAATTGGTGGGGGCACCTGGGTGGCTCAGCTGGTTAAGCGTCTGACTCTTGATTTCAGCTCAGGTCACGACCTCACAGTTCTCCAGTTTGCCAACCCCTCCCCTCAGGCCCCATCCAACCCCAACACCCAGCACCCCCCCTCCCAACCACTGGCTGTTTGAGATTCTCCCTCTTTTTCTGCCCCTCCCCTGCTCAAACTCTCTCTCTCTCAAGATAAACTTTTAAAAAGAGAGGAAATTTGTAATTTAAAAAACCCTACTACTGCCACAATCTTTTTTTAATGTTTATTTATTTACTTTTGAGAGACAGAGCATGAGCAGGGTAGAGACAGAGAGAGAGAGAGAGAGAGAGAGAGAGAGAGAGAATACCAAGCAGGCTCTGTGCTGTCAGCAGAGCACAGAGCCTGATGCAGGGCTCAAACTCAGGAACTGTGAGATAATGAGGAGCTGAAATCAAGAGTTGGCCGCTTAACTGACTGAGCCACCCAGGTGCCCCAAGCCACAATCTTTTTTTTTTTTTTTTAATTTATTTTTGAGAGAGAGATAGAGACAGCATGAGCAGGGGAGGGTCAGAGAGAGAGGGAGATACAGAATCCGAAGCAGGCTCCAGGCTCTGAGCTGTCAGCACAGAGCCCGATGCAGGGCTCAAACCCACGAACCGTGAGATCATGACCTGAGCTGAAGTCGGACGCCTAACCGGCCGAGCCACCCAGGTGCCCCCAAGCCACAATCTTATCAGTCAATTAATAACTCGCTCAGATAACAGAGTAAACATACTTAAAAACCAGATTATAATGCAAGAGACCTCCTGGTGCCCTTAAAGGTCTACCTCCTAACCCCTTCTCTTATCCTTGTTCCAGCTGGAAACTTTCTCTTTCTCGTTTTATTCAATAAGAAGGGACAGTATTTTCATAGATTGGAAAATATAGTGAAACTATAGATTTCTGAGATCATCTAGTTTAAGACAAGCCTTCAAAGTAATTTGAATTTGACTTGAGAAGTATAATAAAAGTTCTGTAATATTTTTGTAGACACAGAACACTCAGAGTCAGAGGAAAACGTATGAGTGCTATAGCCAAAGAAAGCAAGTATAAATGTATTTATCTGCAGTTTTTGTTTAAAGATAGGTCCCTGCAAATACAAATCAAAAACCACACTGAGATACCACCTCACGCCAGTCAGAGTGGCTAAAATGAGCAAATCAGAGAACTCTAGATGCCGGCGAGGATGTGGAGAAATGGGCACCCTCCTACACTGTTGGTGGGAATGTAAACTGGTACAGCCCCTCTGGAAAACAGTGTGGAGGTTCCTCAGGAAACTAACAATAGACTCCCCTATGACCCAGCAATAGCACTGCTAGGAATTTACCCAAGGGATACAGAAATGCTGAGGCATAGGAGCACGTGTACCCCAATGTTCATAGCAGCACTCTCCACAACAGCTAAAACATGGAAAGAGCCTAAGTGTCCATCAAGAGACGAATGGATCAAGAAGATGTGGTTTATCTATACCATGGAATACTACATGGCAATGAGGAACAATGAAATCTGGCCATGTGTAGCAACATGGATGGACCCTGAGGGTGTTATGCTGAGCGAAATAAGTCAGGCAGAGAAGGACAAATATCATATGTATGCACGTATAGGAGGATTAGGAGGAACTTGACGGAGGAACAAGGGGGAGATGAAGGGGGGAAATGGTGGGGGAAAGGGAGAGAGGCAAACCATGAGAGACTCTTGAATGCTGACAAAAACTGAGGACTGATGGATGTGGGGGAGAGGGGGATGGGCATGGAGGAGGGCACTCGTGGGGATGAGCACTGGGTATTATGTGGAAACTAATTTGACAATAAACTATTTGTAAAAATAGTAAATAAATAAATAAATAAATAAATAAATAAATAAATAAATAAAAATAAAATATAGGTCCCTGCAAAGCAGCGAGACAGGACTCTGACTTTTTTTACTTTCAGAATTGTAGATATTGAGTTAAAGCACCTGATGAATTCATAGCAGATACTGTCTCAATTTGCACAACTTAATGCAGGGATAGATGACTGTGCAGTGCTGGCTTCTGCCTACCTGTTACTGCACACGCCTCCTGCTAAAGAAGAATAAATTTTGGTTGTAAGCGCAGGAATGAAGCTTAATCAGTTTAACAAATGTATACACTTTACAACAACTATCTTATTTCTGCTAGGTGAGGCACCCCAAGTACCCTACACATGTGTTTCACTCAAATTGCAAGGCAAACCGCTGGGTTTAAGAATGAGAACCTGGGGTGCCTGGGTGGCTCAGTCGGTTAAGGGTCCAGCTTTGGCTCAGGTCATGATCTCGCAGTTCGTGGGTTCAAGCCTTGCATCGAGCTCTGTGCGGACAGATAGCTCAGAGCCTGGAGCCTCTCTTCGGATCCTTTGTCTCCCTCTCTCTCTGACCCTCCCC